ATTATCTTTATTAATCCTACTACTGCCTGCTACTGTCACAGGCTAGGTGGTTTATGGCAGCTGTCATGGTCAGAAATGATTAGTTGTTGCTTACAGCTGCAAGCGGTCTTAAGAAGACTAACCTGTGTGAGAAGGGTTTTCTACCTAGTGCGCCAAGTCCTTATGCAAAATGAGAAACAGCCATCTGATAGAAATAAAAAAGATGCGTATCCACAGTTTTGGACAATTCTTCAAAGGTGATCTGTAAGATTTTTGATGAAAACTCAGCACATTGGAACGCAATAATTCACGGGTGATTATGTGCTTTGTTGACCTCTTAAAACTAATCCACGTGCGGGTCACTGCGACTGCATTCAGCTTGTTGAAGCACGTGTTGGACGTGGTCGAAAATGACCGAAAATCTGGCGTGTGTGTGTGCAAATGTCAGTGTCAGTATTCATAGGCGCTGCACTGGATACAATAACACGCTACATAAATAAATGTTACTTAAATATAGTAAGTAGATCTTAAACATCAATGCATGTGATTCCTCGGGCGACGATATCACTGTACGCACTACTATATTGACTTTGCTTCGGCTTAGCAGTCGCTAAAGACGCAAATATAAAAAAAATCCATACGCAGAACGTTCTATGTTTTGACCGCTCCGTTAGACCAGAAACATTTTTGAGTGGCCAGGCTGTCCCGAACACGCGTATTTTGAAAGGATGACCGCCCACGTTTGTTGTCGTTAATAACTCGAAGGAGTCTCCTTAAACAAGATTACAATCGTGAACTCGGATGACGCCGAATACTTGGGTTAGGTCACCTCTTATTTGCCTTTTAGTAAAAGTAAGGCCTTTGTGATTATAAAGCCGAGATCTGGAGTGAGCAGCTGAACACTATGTCTACTGACGTTATCGGTTATCCGAGCGCTTAGTACGCTAATAACGTAAGCGAGTATGGAACGTAGGGTGATTAACGAATTGAACGCGGACAGCTAGGTTATTTTCGAACCAAGTACGACTAATCTCGATGAATTTCAGAACTTCAGGATAATTTTCTCTAGAAGTCGCAAACCTTACACGTCGACCCAATAACTTTTGCTAGCCCTGATTTTCGTGTTGAGTGTTAATTAGTAATTTATAGCGACTTCGCCTCCCTCCAATCTCATTGCAAACCCACTTACAAAACAGTCGGTAAAATGCATACTTTCATTTTGTTTATAATGAATGTCGTGATCGATTCAATGTCTAAACTAAGCTACTCCTACCATCGTCATTGCTGGATGTGAGAGAGAAGGAAGTTCAGTTGAATGCGTCTGCAAAAAAAAGATATCTGAATAAATGTTTATGAGGTCGTAATTGGGCGAAAAAATTAATAGCATTTGGCCTATATTTTCCGGAAATGCATGTGATGTGTGCCGGAAGAGGGAATTTTACATTAAAACGCAAGACAAGAAGTCAGGTTAAAGTACTCCTAACACAGACACTTCCAATCCCATGACTATAGAACCTAATGGAAGTGGGAGCAAATAGACTATTCAGTGGGCTTTTGACTCCAACCTCTGGACATAATTTCTGTACCAAACGTCAGAATTTCGTCACATTTCACGCATTTTTGGTTGACCTAATGCCGAAAGTTTCAATGTGTAAACATAAGTGAATAGTTTCGCGTGCATGTGATCTCCTTATTTTGAATGTTTGACCGGGATTGAGAATAAAATATACTTTCCGTGAAGAAAGATGCATGCGCGAGTGGCAAAAGTAAATTTGTTCTCTGGCACAAGAATTTTATTCGTCTGTCGCGGATGCATTATCAAAAATAGTAGCAGGAACGGGTAATTCATTCGCAAAAAGTATTAGTATTTACAGAATACAGTCACTATGTTAATGCGCGCTTATGACAATTATCGGTGGCCTGTACGCTAACTGATGATGGATCCGCGACGGATTTCGAAACGTCAGGTGAACAAAATTCTTGCTCCCACGATCACAGTTACTTCATAGATCTCGCATGTTCGCTTGTACATGTTCAGTCTTGATAAGTGAAGGA